AAGCACCATTCAATTAGGCAAGGAAAGCTGCTCGATATGACATTTTTAATTCAAACTACACTCTGCCTTGAACTGTCTACCACATTAAAATGTGTTTTACTACGTTCCTGTCACTCAGCTCAACATAAAAAAAAACGAAAAAAATCCAGACCGGCTCCCAATCAGGGAAGCGTTCCCGTCGTTCACTTCAAAGAGGGCTGCTTAGAGCCGATCCGTTTCGCGAACCGACCCATCACTAGTTCCTAGTAATGTAGAAACATGGAGGGTTTAACAATTTGCGGACTCCAAAGGCTCATTCTAAGGTGACGAAAAACAACACGGATTCCTAATATTCAAGGCGATTATACCACCAACAAATCATTCCTATGAATATTATATTCCATTTCGCCCAATATATCTCCTAAATGTTACCACTGGACTACGGCGCAACGCACAACACACACACACACTTGGACACACACACAGGAAAATTCACTTCAACCTCCACTGTATGGACGATGGTAGATGGCAAAGTCATCTGGGCTGCTCTCTATTTTAAACTTGTTGAGGAGAACTCGGAGCACCTGAGGTGTATTGTCATGCAGCTGTTTGATCCGAACATTATTCACTGAGCCGTAAGCAGGAGTAACATGCTGGTCTGAGAAAACAACAAACATTAAAACAGAAATTCAGTTCCTACATACCGTCACTGTATGTGTGTTATCTGGCACTGATGGATGGGTCATTGTTTTACTGTCTATGGGATCACGACAAACACCTGTGGCCGGTATCACGCTTATGGTTGTAGAAGTGTCCGTTGATGGAGAAACGATGGCGTCGAATTTTCCTCTGGTCGCTCGGTGACGTCGCTGGCCTCGTCTCAAGAACCCCGGCATCGCTCTTCGTCCTTGAGGACGCTGAGCGGAGCTGTCACTGTCCTCTGTCGAAATCAATCAGATTAGTAAAACCATTATCCTTTAATATTAAAGCTATAATACGAATGTCTATACCACACTAGACCTACACCCATCAGCCATAACATTAACACCAATAATATAAAAATTGTTCTGCATCACATACACAACAAAACTGACTCACTGTGTGACTCCTTTCTATCAGAACCAGCATTAACTGTTTCAGCAGTTGGAGCTACAGCAGTCGTCGTTGGATCGGACCACACGGGTCAGCCTTCACTACCACGCCATTCAGTGAGCCTTGACCCACCCTTGACCCTGTCTCCGGTTCTTTTCCTTCCTTGGACCACTTTCGATAAATACTGACCTCTGCAGACGGGAGCGGCAGTTTTTTGATCCAGTCGTCTAAACCATCACAATAGTATCCTTTCCAAAGTCGCTCAATTCCCACACTGCCCCATTTTTTCTGCTTCTAACGACATCAACTTTAAGACATAATGTTCACTTGCTGCCTGATTATATCCCCCACTGACAGCAGCCATGAGAACCAGATAACGGTTATTCATTCACCTGTCAAAAATAGAAATCTGTCATTTAGCATCATATCCCCTTTGTGAATGCTTCATCACTGTCATCATCACATAAATTTACTTTCAATTTCTACATACTGTACATTGAACAGAAATGACTTATCTTTAAATTAAAGACTAATAAATAACTATTCCTGAGTCATATTTTTATGCTTACAGTCTGTAAAATAGATATAACATTACATTTAATCACACAGACATTATGAAACTAAACATCACCTGTTCAGAACTTTTTCTTATTTTAGAATCACCACTGTAACATACAAACCTTGCAATTACAGTGTGTACAAGTGGAATTGTACAGCATACTCCTCTAAGGGTTGAAAAAACTCTTTAAAAACCCTAATAATAAGGCTTTAATCCCTTCCTCATGAGAGGTTGCCATTTTGGAGATGAGGTTTCCACCCAGCAGTGATGTGATGCTTATATAAAGCAGCTGAGAGTTAATTAGAGATTTGGTCCACAGTGTTTTTAGAGCTAAGTTAATTAAATCTTCATGACCTAATGCAATGTTTCTTTTTCTGTCTTGGCAACTGATAAGACAACACAAATAAAACCGTATTATTTAGGATTTCAGGTGTGTTGGCACTGATTTATGATGCTGTTCACTGGATCCTTATTATAGCCGAGGGAGTAATACACAGTGCGTTACCACTACATACAGTCAGTAAAGCCACTAACCGTCTGCCTGTTCCTCCATCACACCGTTGTCCTCTAGTTGGTTGTCAGGTGGCGTCACTTCCACTGTGGGCGGGCTCTGCTGTGTCTCCTGCTGACCATCTGTGCTGTTGGGAGATCTTCAAAAAGAAAACAAGAGAAGAAGAGAAAGAAGAGACTGTTAACGTACAGCCGAAAATGTGTAGATACAAACTGTTATTACATTACTGACACAAGTGAAAGGAGTTACTGTACAGAACAGTACATTAAGTAATAATGTCAACACTAATAAAAAGGTTTATTATTAGATTTCCTGCCGATAGCAGCAGTTTGTTAACTACTTATACACCACATGTAGTTTGTACGTCACATCCCTGGTGGTTAGTTTCAACTTGTGACAGCTGTTCCTCTTTGTTGATGCAGTTTATCTGTTTGAGATGAGCTGTCACGATTTGTGAGAGTATTTCCTTTGATTTTTTATGTAATTTTGGACTAATGTACCAACAATATCAGTATGGATTATTAAACTTGCAACTGGCATCCAACATAATAAAATGTAACTTTACAGCTGTGGTTTTAAAGGTGATTTAGTTACTTTTTCATGAAGCGTTTGTGTTATTTTGTCTATTTCCTGTAAGTTATTTTGTCCTTGAAACACCAGCTGTGTGCCTGTGAGCTCGACTATCCCTCAAACAGGAAAAGCCTCTTCTGAAGAACGGGATATCTGTGATGTTAGGGCAAAATCCAAGACTGAGTCCGAGTTGTGGGTTGAAAGATTTCTAAGAACTAATTTGGTGTTTCATTAAAGGATTTAGCAATAAAGTTTTTGTTGCTGCAATATCAAGTGATGTAACTATCTTTTTTGATTTTCAATCAGACAAACAAGACTAAATCTATATCTGCCCTCGCTGACTTGCTGTGTATCACCATGTCCGGTCAGCACGGTGTAACTGGATCTGTCTGGACCTCTTACCCTTGACTGTCCAGATTGCAACCTGAGTGCCAGGACGTAGAAGAGGGGGGCGGCCGGATTCGCTCGTGGTCATCCTGCATCTGAAGTCTGATTGGTCGCCGAAGGCCCCAGAAGATATTCAGCAAGCCCTCGATGATCAGCTCCCCCTCTTCCTGTTGGGAGAGAGGAGCTGTGATCAATGCACACACACACACACACATATATATATAAATGCATGCAAACACTGTAGGTCTTTTAAAAACGTCGCCAGAAAGAAAGAAAGAAAGAAAGAAAGAATAAAAACTCACCTGCAGAATTAAGAGCAGCTTCTTTACACTGACATTACTCATCATCCCAGAGCAGGGGGGGCGGTGTGTGTGTGTGTGTGTTTGAGGTGTGGGGGGGGGCAACCTGAATGTATTGAA